TAGACCTATGAGCGTATTATGTTATTATACGTTTATTGAAGCATGGAATAACACTTGTTTCCTAATTATTACCGTACCTGCACAATTTAAAATATATTATTTCTCCCGATTAAACCTATAGGCCTATGCCTAACTATTAAAAAATAAATTCATACAACCACTGGACTGGAAATAGGAATGGTTGACAACAGATTTATTTCTAAACAATTCGCTTGGTATTATACGATTGTAATTGAAACAAATCCTTGTTTATTTTCGAATTCAATTTCAGTATAGTAATGATAATAATAATAACAAACACAATTGTATAGGCTACTGCGTGGATGTGTGGCGTATTGGTAGACTACTCAAAGAAGCAAGAAACACAGAATTTTCATAGGGCCTATATTTTTTCTACTGTAGAACAATCAGACCAGTTTCAGCCACGTCAAAACATGGTACGTCAAAAAGGCTACGTCATAATTCCCGTATCTGATTGGCTGCTTCTTACAATTTCTGGTCCATAATGCTAAGTCTCTTACGAAAGCCGACTTGGAGTCAATTTTCGTAAGAGACGTAACACAAGGTAACGCAAGCATGATCACTCAAGCATAAGTCACTGAATCGCGGTTTCCTGTCAAATCGTGGAAAATCGACGTATCGCATGAAAATTCAATACGACGGTTTCCTGTCCCACATTGCTTTGCGACGATTTAACCTTACGTTACATCGATTTCACAACGCACCAGTCGCAATCGGTTTCCTGTCAAATCGCATTTTGTTACGATAAAACGACGTAGTCGTAAGTAAATCTGCCTTCTTACGTCGACAGGAAACCAGGCTTTATAGTGCACATACGTCGCATGACTGGTGCGGTCGGTTGGATGTGTTCTAAAGAACTTAAGGTCGTGAGTTTGAAACGCATCCTCATGGTATCTAATTTTTTTTCCCCAATTTATTTTATTTATTTTTATTTTAAGCTGTTTAGAACACGTCCTTAACCGACCGCAGCATCCATGCGACGTGTCCTATGTATTATTACCAGTTCCAGTGGTATTTAGTACAGCAGGACCGTATACTGCAACAACAGGATCACCGGTGTTTTGGTTGGTGCCGCGCTGCTTGGGTCGAACCTAGCCTAACCTGCTTCTCTGCTTGGCAGACCGTAGCCTACAATTACATTTAAAAAATACTGTTTACAAAACATTAATGAAGAAATGGTGAAACATACTGTTATGCATTAATTGGTACAACAACCTGTCATTCGCTAACATTCAATACATAGGCCTACATACTTACCTTAATTTAGGAATATGAAAATGAATTACCTGCCTAGCAAAAAATCTGATGATACTGATAATGATATACTGTAGGCCTTCTGACTGCAATTTTAACTCGTGCTTCGTTCGAGCGGAAAGTAGTCGAGCGTACAGTAGTTCTTCGAGCGAAAAATCAGCAGCAGGTGTAGGCCTACTTTGTGTTTACAAATTGAAAAGTTAATGTCACATTTAATAGAGCATTTAAAATCATGGGTAGCTCCAGGGAATATCATTCTTATATATTAGTAGACTCATTATCATTATAATTTAGGATATCTGCATAAACCTGTTGAAAACCAATGTCACACCATCTCAAATTCCTAATTGTCAACATTTCGGCCCGCGGCCGATCGCCCCAAATACAGGGCCGGTGTAACACGAAATTTAGTTCCCGGAGAATTTTAGTATTTTGTGGTCTGTTTTTTTATTTTTGTGTTCAAGAGTCCTTCGTGACGTTTTCATTTCCAGTATTGTAATTATTACATTAAAAACTCACTTGTATTATATTTCATTTTAAAATATCTGTATCCACTATAATTAGTTATCTTGGTTGTTGTAATTAAGGAAGGTTAAGCTTATGGAATAAAACTAAATGTATCTTACAGTGTAATCCAACCATACATTTAAAAAGTAGTGTTACATGGATAAAAGAGGCAATCTATAGGATTTTAAAGGGAAGAACTGTTGATATAAGTGAATTACATCAACATACAGCCATCAAGTCATAACCACAGACTCTATGGGTGTGTGCCATCGTTTCATATAAAATTTCAGCTCCGGTTCCGTCATGGACTTATCCTTGGGGTAAAACAGAAAGTTTTATATATATATACATATATATATGTATGTGTATATGTTTGTGTATATATATATATATATATATATATATATATATATATATATATGTATGTATGTATATATATACTCTCTCATATA